ATTTTTCCTGAGTGTGATAGGTTTTTTCCAAGTATTTCTTTATCAGAATTTGACTGGTTGGTATTATGGTCTAGCTCACAAGGCATTCAGTCTCTGTCTAGTCCTATATAGATACCTGTGTATGTTACAAAATCACTTCACCCATTATCCTAAACAGGGATCTATGCTGATAAGAGGTCCAGTCAATAGAAGTTTTGCAAGTTTGGCTTCAGGCCTTGACAGAGCACAGGAAAAACAGAAAGCTAGAGAGTACAGTTTCTGGTTCTGCTACTGCTGCCCTTCCCTGTTCTGTCCCCTGAGATGCTCTGCTGTTAATTGGAAACCAACTCAGAGCACACATCTCAGTGGACTGTGCTTTAGCTCAAGAGTTGTGCAGAACTTTCCCAGTCAGCCTCAGGGGTATGTGAGGCCTGATCTGGGGATCATGCTTAAAACAGATCTGTTTCACCTGCACATTTCTCTACACATGTAAGCTTTTCAACTGAACGGGATGTACTGCATTTCTGTTTCTGAGGGCTGAGCTCTTCTTGGACTGTGGGTCAAATCTGAGCCCACATTACCACCCTAGAGATTTTTTAATCAGGCAGGCAAGGATTTCCCTCATGATGATGAATGCTATAGAAGCTTATAAATACATAGGCGCTGTTACCTTTCTTGTTGCTAAGTGCTCCCTAGTCGGAAAGAGCTCTTAGCAGTTGTCAGAAATGCTGCACAATAATTTAAAATAAACTGTAAATCTCTGAGATGGATGAAAGTATCAAGATGGATGATCTTGAAATGGTCAGTAGAGAGGCTGCTGGTGATTTCAATGACTTCGCTTGCCAGTCATGATTGAAGATGACCATCCATATTGAAAGGGACACAGCAAAGACGATCAAGAGGATACATCAAAGGCTAAAGGATAGGTGCTATTAAACATTCTCCAGCCTGCAAGCTTGTAGTTTTTTTCAGCTTCCTTCTGACTGAGAGATTGTGTCCTGAGGAAAAACCAAAAGTATTCCATATTGCTTGCAAACAGGCATAATCCTTGGAGTGAGTGATGTTCCTGTCTTCCATTTTCCTTCTGAATCTCTGTGCTGCCAGTCTTTCTTATTTTTCCTGGTTCTATATTAGAGAAAGCCAGCTGGGCTAAACAGGCAACTGGCCCCTGCTCCATAAGATAATGGATCCAATTATTATCAGAGGCCAGCTTGGAGGGACAGCTGTGCAGCTATATAACTACATAGCTGTACAGCTACTGTTCAGTAGTCACCATGGCAAATACAAACCCTCCAAAATGCAAAGATGGAGGTGCTAGCAACTCTCCAAAGTGCAAAGAAAGCAGCTTGCAGTGTTCTTGTGGATTGCTTTTGCTTTAATTTGTCTTTAGGAATGAAAATGTTTGTCACATCTCCGAAAACAGGAACACAGTTTGGTAAACCAGATCTACCACTAAGGTGGCATAGGGAGACACCTACTCAATCCAACTATATTTAGTGGAGTGCCAGTGTAGGAACAGCCATACCAGACTCTACATGGAGCTCATGTAGCTTCTCCTTATCTTTGATGCTGTCTGGGTGCTCTGGAAAAGAATATAAGATATCTTAGGAACAGGAAGCCATGTAGTAATCTCTTCATGGGGATTCTTACTTTCTAACTTGTTCCAAAAAAATCCCTGTACTCTAAGGGTTTATTCATCTTATTTGGTTTCTTCTTAAAAACAAACAAAAAATCCTATGCTACTTGATACAGAGTTTTCTGATATTGAAAGGAAAATCCAATTTTTGAGAACACCCAGTTTTGAGCATCAGTAATGTTTGGGGGCAATGGATTTCAGAAGGCATTTATATCTGACCTTTTGAGCAAAATATCTGCAAAAATGGGAAGACTAGGTCTGACTGCTTATTGACACTTCTCTTGACCAGCACTCCTGAGTTTAAATTTATCAAAGGATCATTTTATCACCACCTTCTTCAATTTCTTACTCATTTCCAAAAAGGCTTTGGGGAACTTCTCAAAGACCTGCTGGAAAAATCAGGGTCGTAATCCTCTTGTGAGGGATGCCCATTCAACTTAATAGCATGGCCCTTCTTAGCCTCTAGTGCCTGGCTTGATCAGGATTCCAGACTATGTGCAGCTTCAGTAATACCAGGAAAAATAAGTAAACTAGATCAGCTGTAAGCCACAAAGAAATAGCTGCTATATTTCAGTTTATTAGCTATTCAAGATCACTTTTAAACTTTGAAAAGGCAAATTATAATTTAAAAGATCTCAGTAGAAACATATTCTGCTTTCACGGTCTATGGATATGCATGTTTAAGCTATCATGCCATGACACTGTGCTCTCTGATTTATATTTTTACTGATGCTTTGACTGAGTAGTTTGTTGCAATGTAGTGCTAAATGAAGGAAAAATCAAAAACTGCATCAGACAACCACTCTGTATTTCATTCTAGAAAATAGCTAGCAATTATAATTACTCACCATGTTTCTGGCTCAGAATAAAAGTGGCATTGCACAAAAAAACCACACTGAACATTCATCGTGATTAGAAAATGCTACATACCTTGGAGTGCAGTGGAGACATAAGAATAATTTTAAATGCAAATTAAATTGTGGGGGTAGCAAAGAGAACAGATAAAAGACAGTAAAACAAAGCCTTTCACTTTCCTCAAATTAGCAGGCTAATGTAGTATAAAAAAAAGCAGTTCTACTCAGATCTGTGCTAAAAGCTTTCATTTCATCATAATATAAAACAGCAGATCCGTCACCTTTCTCTCTTCAGTACTCTTGATTTCGAGGTTGAAGTGAAAATTAGAAGCTGTTCTTTCTGGCTCACAGACTGGGTTGCATTTGCTTAGTCTTATTCCATGACAGTAGGATGGAAAGAGGTCAGTAACACTGGTAAGTACTTCTGCATCTGATTTTATTTATTTATTTTTAAAATCTTTCAGTGCTTTGGCTTTTTGTCAATGTGCATTTCCTAAAAGAAGCTACATTGTGTATTTTGTAAAAGGCTGTATCTTAAGCAGAAATGCAACGATTCCTTGAGAATGCTTGTATCAGATGTTAGAGCTCCTTCAAGAATAAATTAATTACTTGCAGTAGGGATTCTTTAATTGGAAAGGTTTCTCAATATTGTATATATTTCATAGCATCACTGGAACATTTTGTGTGTTGCTTTTTCTGTCTGCCTTGTCCAACAAGCAGTACCAGATAAGAAATTAATCTCTTCTCAAGATGTTATTTGCATTATATTCATAGCAAAATCTCATTACCCTTATGGTAAATGATGGAGTAAGCAGGTATTTTACTTAGTGAAAGCAAACTATTAGATAAAACACAATGTTATATTCAAATTTAACCATTATGAAACATTAAAAACATCTCAGAATATAAGATACAGCAAGGAAGATCAATGTGTAAAAAAAATTCTTAAGGAAACTTGATACAGATTTTTTTTTTCCTTGGGAAAGTTTTTATCAAATCAAAACCAGGGGCTTAATTTTTCAGTACGAAGGGCGAGGGGGAGTGGGGGAGATGAACGTAGTGTCACCTCCTGTTGCTAAGTAACAACATCTCCTGGCCATTTTTATCTGATAAAGGAAGTCCAGTTGACGTTATGCATTATTCATCAGAGTTCCAATCAAACAATCAAAATTGTTTGCTTACACTGGGGACATTTAGTAAGATCAAAGAAACCCTCCTTGAAACTACTGGAGCTTACACCACTGCCACACAGCCCTTGATACTCTGCAGTAAGTATCATTTCTGGTTTGGGAGTGCTACAGGAAAGTGAATTGCTGTGGAACGTAAAAGTTTTCTCATCAGGACAGACTTCTGAATTTTAAAAGGACTGCATGTTGATTGATGAGAACTGAATCAAAGGAAAAAGGTAAACCTTTGGAAACCTAGTTTCCTGACTTTTCACAGCCAAATTGAAGGAATTACTTGAAGCAAGAATCAGACTCCCTGCCTCAAACCTTTTTGTTAGGTTTGCATGGAAAAGGACTAGAGGTATTTTTGTCCATCTGTCTTAAAATACATGTTGTTCAGAGTTGTTTGCATGCTTATGATTACATGCTGTGGTGAACTGTGATGTGGGTGAGAGAACGGGGTTGTGTGTTTTCTGCAAATCTTGGATTTTTTATGTGAGTTTTTAAGAGTATAATAAAATGCAGAAGGTAGTAATGAAGCTGGAGAAGGGTCACAATATCTTTCCAGGTACTCTGCCGGGCACAGGCAAACATAATTCAGTGTACATCTTGGAGAGTTGTAATCCAGGATCCCAGCAGATCTATGATTCAAAAGGATGCCAAAAATATGAACCTTAGCTAAAAAGCAGTGTTAGGAGTAGCCTACCATTTCTTAATGATTGCTCTTACCACATATTTTAAAACTGATGGTGGAATGTTCTGTTGCTACTTCTGGTCAGCAAGAGGAGAGAGGAAAGGCAGGATTGGCTTATGGTCCATTTAGGTGGAGTGAAATATCCAGAATATTGTGTCTTCCTTTCTAGTGCAGCGTTTTGGCATAAGTGGCAAGAATGTAATTTTTAATGTAGTCTGTTATAGTAGTGCCTATTCAGGCACTGGCTGTGAATCTGGCTAAAGGAGCTCCCTGTCCTGAGCTTTTCTGATTTTCTTTTTAAGGGCAAATGTAAGAGGCAGATGAATCCAAGTGTGTGTCTTAAGAAATGGAGATTGTGACTAGAGTACAGGTGATTGTACTAGGAAGATACAAGGAATCTTACTAATACTGCAGTAGCACTTTCTTTTTTGTCTTTAGACAAGGTTTTCAACCAAACATTTTAAAATAGAAAAGGATGCTTATGAAGTTCTATGAATAGTGACTTGAAAATACTTTGACCCTAATATGCCAGATGAAGTACTTTAGTGCCTGCCTACACAGTACTTTCCACAAAGAAACCCACCAGCTTTTTTCTCTGACATCTCTGTAATCTTTTCTAGGAATCTGACTGATCGTTCATACCGGAGTATTGTACACAAAGCACCTTCAAAATGGACTACTTTTTGGATGTCGAGTCTGCTCACAGACTGTTTTACAGTCAAGGAGCCCAAGGTAAGAAACTCTGGCACCGACTCAGAAAATTACTAATTTAACTGTACAGTTAAAATGTATGTGACCAGATAGGGGCCAGTAACCAACATACTTAAGTGTTGAGAGGGCACAGGGCCTTCAAAATGCATGGCCTTTAAAAGGGACTACAAGAAGTAATGCTGGGGTTGATCTGCCCTCTCAGATGGTAAGGAGGAGCTGTGAGGGCTGTTGCATGTTCTGCAGGAGCAAAAAGAGCTGCCAAGACACAGGTTCTAGTGTTGCAGAACCTAAATGGACATGGCAGAGGAGACAGCAATGGCCTGCAGCTTGCTGAGTAAGCCTGTGGTGTCTTTTCCCTTCCTCCTTTTTCTTCTTAGGGCTGACAGGATCGTAAGGTGATGTTATTCAGGAAAAACTGGTTTGGGAAAGCCCTGAGGCACAGAGCAGCCTGCTTTGCACAGAGCAGCTCTCACTGGTCTTCATCATCCCCTGTGAAATGCTGGCCCCCACAGAGCAGCAGCAGGGTGAGAGGGGAAGGGTAACCAAGATCCACTGCTTTAATGTAGTTGAGACTTGTTCACAACATAGATGATATTTTTGGTAAAGTCAGTTCACATTTTTCTCACCAGCTCTATATTTGGAGAAAACTTGCCATTTCAGAGAGAAGGGTGTTTTTTTCTTAAACTTTAAACACCATAATAAATTCAAGAAAATTTTAAGAGCCAAGTAGCTCTATCAGCCATTTTTGTTTCTACTGACTGCTTGTTTTTTGAAAATGGGATCCATTTTTCTTCCACTATTAATTTCACTGGTTGCTAATCAGATGCCAAGTCTGGACAACAGAGTTTGGCCTTCCTTCTGGAGGCTATTCTCCCAGAGCAAGATGTAATCCACCCACGGGATGCCACCATCCCAGGATAATGGGGAGCAGTACTACCTCTGACCTCTGGCTCAGCTGAGGTGCTGCTGCCTAACACATGCTGTGTTACTTTGCTGCCGTCTCAGTTGTTGTGATACCTTTTCATCTGTACCAGTTGCAGAAAGCCTTTCTTGTCACAACATAGCTTCCTGCATTGAACAAGAGAAGCAAATACTAAGCACCACAAAATCGGGGAAAAACCACTGAGGGCAACGACTGATTTTGATGGGTTTTTTTCTCCATCTCTAAAATACAACAAACACCTGGGTGTTGCTACAGAAGTAATTTTGAAATATGTTCTTTGACCTTCTTTGAGCAGAGGGGTTGGACTAGATGACCTCCTGTTATCCCTTCCAACCATAACAATTCTGTGATATCTCTATGGGAACAAACCATTTCTATTCCATTGAAACTAAAATTCAGAAATATACATGTCACTGCTTTAAAAACTACAGCAAATTATCAACAGTATCCCAACACCCTATGCACTACAACATACAGAGGCAACTGTGGAAGAAAGAATATGTAATCATGCAAGGAAAGTCTACTACAGTCTGTGCACAGGGTGACTCGTGAGGGTTATGCAGGTCACCTTCACTGTAACTATATCCAAGCAAGCAAGATTGAAAAAACATTATCTTACCCATACTTTGAGAAATTATATTGTTAGCACATATAGAAATGCTTGTATTGATCAGTTATTAAATCCAAAACAAGGGAAAAAAATTAATTATGCAGAACTGTATTCCCTGATACAAATGTCATCAGCAGGAGACTGACCTCTAGATCTGTTATGTGGACTTCTATCCCTTGGCCAAAACAAATAGGAGCTAGCACTGACACTTGGAGATTATTTGTTCCCCTGCTTGGGAATGTTTTTTATAAAAGTTACCAATTACATGCTTCCCCTGCGCACCAGTGTCCCACACCCTAACTACCTCCACAACTAGAAACATTGACAGAAAAGCCATGCTGCACTTAGGCTCTGTCCCCTTCCACTTTTCACCTTCTCATTGCTCTGTTTACTGCATTTCCCACAGCTCCCTTTGCATCTCTTACCTCTACATGCTTGAGCTGAGGCCTCTTCCCCAAACTCTAGTAACTTCCCCTCTCTTCCTATTTCTGTGCTTGAGGTCAGCTGCTCTCCAACAAGCTGAGTGCCAACAGGGAAATTGCTCTGAGCACAGAAGAGACAATGCTTCTGCTTTACATTCTCAAATGCTGCAACACAGAAGCCCCCCGGCAACAGGAGAGGTGCTTGAGGGGAAGAACGGATGAACAATTGCAGTGGCAATAGGATGTGAGATTAAATGTGGCCTGTGCAGAGAGAAGTTTCAGGAGGCTTTCACTGAGCCTCTCTGAGGTGCCACAGATGGCTTCAGCAGGCCGAAAAATAAGCCTCTGGAAGAACTATAACCATTGAGCTTTTCTGCAGTAAATGTTTTTATCACTACCTTTAGCCCCAAACTTCTAAATATCCCCTTCCTCTCAGCTGCTTTACCCTCAGTACAGAACAAGGAACTCAAACTTATCGCATGTAAATTCATGCTGCCTATACAGGCTCTGCTAACTCCTGTTGACCTTGTACCTTATGCCAAATTTTAAGGCTGTCTTCCATAAAACAAGCACTTTTATATGAGATAATGGCATGATATCTCCAAACATGGGCAAAACCAACATATTTATTTCCTTCTCCACCTTCTGAGAAACAGGCTAACTGCATTAGCTTTAACTTTCTGCAACCACCCCCAAAACACGCTGAATGTGAGGCACTCATCCGCAATAAATAGCATAGCTCAAGTGGCTAGTATGGAACTGAATAAAAGGTCTGAAAGAAAGCACTGCCAACAGATCTGCCTAATGGGATTGCAAGTAACTATTTGATGTTGATATAATAGCATGATGCTATTAGCAAATCACACTATCAAACAGCATGTGTATATGCATTAAAACTGCAATAAGAACTGAGTGAAAGAAGACTACAGTATTCTGCCATTTAATTAGAAACAACATCAGAAAACAGTATATGTATTATTAGTAGTGTAGTTGTATTGTTGGTTATTGCATTACAAAGTGCTCTGTTTACAAAATGTAGAATGGGGGATTATGACCCATTCAGCTCTTTTGTGAGATGAAGATCTCTGCCCTTTAGCACACCAGATCAAGAAAAAAGTCTTTCCAGTGTTTTCACATTAATGACATGACAATGTTACAAATGGCAGCTGTAAACACTCATTCTCATTTCTAGTCATTCCATGTGGGCGGAAGAGAAGGGAAGGAATAGGACTGCAAAATGTTGGGAAGGAACTCAAAGAGCTATGATGTCATTGACAACTGATGACATGAAATTCTACCTGGCCTGGGCTCTTGTGTAGTTGAATGTGTGATACTCTGACCTCAACAAATAGACTGAGACAGGGCTTTGTCCTCCAGCAACTAACCCACTGGCTCTCTACGCCTTGCTGCCTGCACTAACGCCCACGCCTTGTCCCTGCTCCTGCAGAAAGATGCAAACTGCCTTTGCTGTTTTAGGGTAGGAGGAGAGAGGTGTTACTTTACGAGCTGCCACCTCTCCCATCCTCTCCTCTGCAGGAGCAGCCATCACCTCACTTCATGGGCTGAGCACGGAGCAGAGAAATGCTTGCCCGTTCAGGCTGTATCTGCTGTTCAAACAGCTGTTCCCTGTTTCCTTCAAGGAAAGTGAAGCAGGAGGGATGGAAAAGTCACAAAAGCTGAATCTGCCAGTAGGATTAGCTAGATTTAGAAAACTTGGTAAATGAAGCCAGCTGGCTGTAGTCTTCAAACACAAGCCAGAAATATCCTAAGCTCTGCAGCCCTCCTGACTGTCTCTTCTGTACTGTATGTTGGAATCTAGGAGCCGGTGGGATGTCCTTGCCAAGTGCGTAATGACTGGTGACGCATCTGCAAAGCAGAAACAGGAAAGAAAGGACTGTGATCCCTTGGATCCAGCCTCTTGCCCTTGGAAAGCCTGAATCTGAAATCTAAGCATGAAGTTGGACTTTCATTTTCAAAAAAGCCTTCTCCTTCTGAAGTGTCTGGAAGATACTGGTTATTCTTGGCTGCAAATGTATTCTAAATACAAATCTATCATGGCTTTCAGCTGCAAGGGCTGAAAGTATATAATGTGGCCTGGAATAGGATTTAGCTTACTTAACCCTTAGGTGACCTCAGGGAAGATGTTTCCACCTAAGAGTTCTAACTAGCTTACCATGTATCGGAAAAAAAACATAAAAAAAAAGTTGTAATCCAAAGCTGTAAATGTGAAGCTCTCATCTTGGCTGTAGTTTGCTTTGGAGAGATATCATTGATCTTGAAATTCTATACAAAAAGTATGCTTTTGGGCATGCAAAGAAAGACTTCACATTTGACAGAGCTGGGCATGCAGGCACTGAGGAGCAGCAGAAGTGAGCAGCTCCATAAGGGAAAATAAACCCAGAGTCACCAAAACAGGCAGAGGCAGCAGCCTCACCTATGAGAGGTAAATCACAGCAGCACATGAGCCAAGCAGGTCTGGTGACAGTCACCAGGTTTAGTCAGGAGTCCAGACCATCAGACAAGTCCATGGATGATGAGGCAGGCATGAAACTAAGCAGGACATGAAGTCAGCAGTCTGGATGTGGATCAGTGAGGAATGTAGCCAGCCACAGGCATAGCTGAAGCCTTGCTCAGCAAATGGGCAGTGGCCACAGTATAACTCCAAAATCAGGGAGAAAGCAGATGTTGAGGCCTCTTGCTTACTTCTCAAGAAGCTCCAAAGCTGGTCAGGGCCTCTTAAACCACTCTCTCCAACAGCTGTATCATGTCAAAGATCCTGCCTTGAGCCCAGCCAACTAAACTCTGTGCAGGGAGTGCACACAGAGATGTTGATACCTGGCTTTCATCTAGGCTCCATCAGGAATAAGAACTGAGGAACCCCTCCCTCCCTCCCATTGTATACAAGGGGGCTAAGCATCTGGATGAACTCTAAGAGAGAAGAATAATTCCTGCCCAGTACATTGCAAGTGAAGCCTTTAGGTACCACCATAAAAGGGGATTTGCCCATGACGGACAGCACATAGCACTTTTCTGCAGCCATGATCTG